CGAAATCCGGGTTTCGGATTCGGATCGGGTGAATTTTTCTTATCAAATATTTCGCCTCTTTCTTACAACACATATTACATTTTATTTCAGCTGAATGGTGGGAGTGTCATGGTGGAGACGCACGTCACCTAAAGAGAATAGCAATCAAGGTGCTCTCCCAGACATGTTCAGCTATTGGATGGGAGCGGAACTGGAGTACCTTCCAACAGACACACACCCCAAGAAGAAATCAATTGAGTTCCGCCCTGATTCATAAGCTCGTCTTTATTCATTACAATTCAAAGCTTCGACATCGAAATATGACAAGGAAGCTTGAGGATTACATCCCAATCAACTTGGACTCGATATTTCTCTTTGATACAGCAAAGGAGAAGTTGTGGAGGAAGAGCCTCGAGTGCTGAACAAGAGAGCATTCCTCGAGACAATCGGTGAGGAGGGTGAAGGAGAAGATATTGATGAGCAGGGAGGAGGGGGGAGTAACAGCACGTTCCCCCCACAGACATTTGAGCAATTTCTTAGAGATGTAGGTAGTGTTGCACGTGTTGAAAGAGAGCAATGGGTAGGGGAGGAAATGAGGGATATTATGATTTTGAGGCAACCCTATCCCAACCAGGATATATACAACCCGAGATACAGTAGCAAGATGGTTGGAACGGGATAGAGTATGGGGAGTGAGCAAGAGAGTAGAAGCCATCACGAGGGCTGGCAAAGCCTTGGGGACTACGGGCAAGGAGCGCAGCAGTCCTCCAACCCTAAGGGATATGGGTATTGTCAGGTTGGCACCAACCCAGAGGGATATGGGTATTGTCTGGTCGACACCGGTAATTCTAAGGCGTTCATGAATCGACTCAATGACTTGTCGAGAGAATACAATGAGATGCAACAATGAGGAGCAAGGAGATGCAACAATGAGGAGCAAGGACAAAGCCGCCTTTCGTTTTGGTATTAGGTTGTTTTTTGGTTGTTGTATGCTCAATTTGAACTTTGTATTTCTGTACTTGATTATTATAGACTCTTTTTTTCAATGATATGAATGAATTGTTAATACAACAGACATCCAGGCAGGAAAATAATGACTCAGACTCTCAGTATTCACTTATTTTTACGAAGTAATAAAAGTACATAATGCATCACTCTTAATTATGTTTAGAAACTAAAAGAACACTATTTTTAGAGATTTATAGTGATTTTTTGAAAAACTTTTGAGACAAAAATTGCCGATTCTGCTGAATCTCTGATCCAATCCACCGATTCTCTAATCCAACATGGGTATAAGTGTGACTGATTCGAGTCACCGATCCTTTTTCTTAAACCTTGGTATTCACAATGACAAAAGTCATGGATTTCTTAGTATAATGGTTAGATCCCATTCACAAGTCAAGGGAACATGGTGAAACCAAGGTTTAAAAAAACGGATCGGTGACTCGTATTAGTCACACCCATACCCATGTCAAATCGGAGAATCGGTGGAATCGGCAATTTTTGTCCCAAAAAATCACTAGAAATCTCTAAATATAGTATTCTTTTAGTTTCTAAACGTAATTAGGAGAAATGCATTTCATTACTTTGTAAAAATAGGTGAATACTGAGAATACGAGTCATTGTTTTCATGTCTGGATGTCTGTTGTGTTAACAATTCATTCATATCATTGAAAAAAAGAATTTATAATAGTCAAGTACATAAATACAAAGTTTAAATAGAGTATACAATAACCAAAACAAAACCTAATACCACAATGAAAGGCAGCTTCATTCTTGCTCCTCATCGCGTAGTTGCAACTGATTGTATTATTCTCTCGACAAGTCATTGCGTTCGTTCATGAATGCCTCAGAATCGCCAGTGCCGACCTGACTATACTCATATCCCTCAGGGTTGGTGCCGACTTGATCATACCGATATTTTTAAACTAGGAGAAATAAGAACATACATACATTTGATGTATCAAGGAAATTTAATTATGTATCTAGATTCAATAACATACATTTTAGTGTATTAAAAAAATTGGTGATAAAATTAAAAACTACAAGTTTTTACTTACGACCAAAATTGAGGCCATAATCAAACAACCACTAAGTATTTTCAACAAAAACTTCATATAAAAAAAAAAAAACCAAATGATAAATCATGACACTACTGGATATACGAATTGAAATAATGAGGATCATAATAAATGTCTCAATTCGAACTAAATCGATTTATATTGATTGAAATTTTCAATTCCAAATTTAGGGTTCGTGTGAATCAGTAACGATTTCTTCAAAAATCGATGACCAAAACTTTGTTAATAACATAAATAACTCACACAATAATCTGAAGAACATCATGAGCTTCAAAAACCCTTTGATATCATCCAAAATGGTGCCCAATTTCTGTTGAAATCAACACTTCGGCGGATCAACAGTTTCAGAAAACGTTGTCAGAGCTCGATTTCTTCAAAAATCGAGCAGCACAATGTGTTTAATTAGAAAAAAATAAAAAACAGCAAAAGAACTACAATCCTCTGAATAACACTTTAAACCTCAAAACCCCTCTGATTTTAAATACAAAAACAATCGATTTCGCCTGAAATTAATCAAGTGGTGGAAATTTTATGAAATTTAAGGTTCTTCAGGTACGCGTGAATCAGTCACGCTTTCTTCAAAAATCGATGAACAAAACTTTGTTAATAACATAAATAACTCACACAATAATCTGAGGAACATCATGAGCTTCAAAAACCCTCTGATATCATCCAATATGGTGCCCAATTTCTACTGAAATCAACACTTTGGTGGATGTACAATTTCATAAACGTTGCCAAAGCTCGATTTCTTGAAAAATAGAGCAATGTATTTAATTAGAAAAACAGAAGTTCAATCCTCTAAATAACACTTAAACTTCAAAACCCCTCTGATTTTGATCACAAAAACTATCTATTTCACCTGAAATTAATCAAATGGCAGAAAATTTTTGAATGCTGAAGTGTTTTTCAAAACCGTGATTCAATCCTATGTTTGATAATGTTAGATGCATTATTGTCACCAATAATACTCTACAGAGCCTGTCATGGATCAATTATACAAGAAAAAGTAGAAATCACGTAATATTTTCACTGTTCAAGCATAAAATCGGTGAGACTCGCCCAAATCCATGAGAATCGACGATTTTTTAAAAAAACCACCGGTTCTATGGATTAAACTCAGATGGTTCCCGTTTTTTATGCGGATCCGATGCGGTCTCGTCGATTCCCCATCCAGATCGCCCGATTCTGGATCAGGTCACCTATTTTTAAAACCTTGGGTGAAACCATAAATAAAATGTGTGCTGGGGATGGGTGTAAATGATCCAATAGAAACATCGAAACATGGCTTGTTTCAAAATCTCACCTTTCTATCGAGAAGAAAAACAATGTAGATAAGCTTGCCATGTTTGGAGTACCTCTCATCAGCCTCTCTTGCTGATCTCCCACCTTTCTAAATTATCATGAAGGATCTCCACCTTCCACATAATGTATATCCACAAATTGCTTGGTTGTAATTTTTCGAAATGTAGCTTCATGCTTTTTTCTCTTATATAAACAGGTTATTGGCATCTTGTATTAAGGAGAGGCCAGCTACTCACCCATGCAACAAAGAAACAAAGAAAAAGAAAGGATGTGAGGCTGCTAGAAATCCCTGGCTTCCGACCTGCTTAATTTGCACTGAAGCTTTAGAGAGGTGGGCCAATAGTGATTGTCAAATTTACAACCCACACTAGAGAGAGAGAGAGAGAGAGAGAGAGAGAGAGGATGTCACTATGCCCCTAACCATCAGTTTGTGGAGCGTGGAGCCACTATGCCCCTGGTTTAAAGAACAGGACTGATTTCACACAAAATTCATTCTGGAGCTCACCAGGATGATCTAAGGTTCGCAGCAGTTTTTTGTCCTTGTGTTTTTGGATAGTCGATGTTTTAAGCTCCCCTAGAAACCAAAAGTGAGATTGTAATTCTCCAGTTCTCCAAAAATTGTGATCAGCACATCCACCATTGTCTTTCTATTTATTTTTCTGTATATTAACATTTCACTTTCCTACCTGACTTGGTTGCAAGTCAACATTGATCCTGCCATAAACCTATAATCTAAAGTTCTAAACTGAAGACAGACTAAAATCTGCAAGATTTTCGTAAAGCAGCAAGGAAAGCAATAGTTCCAATGTTCAGCTTTCTAGCTTAGGATAAAACCCATTCTGCTTTTCCAAATCACTATTCATTTTAGATCAAGGAAGACACTCATAAGCACAAATTCAACCAAAATATTATTCATAAGCAACAAAAGCAACAGTTCAAGTACTAAGGGAATAGTCTTTTCAAAATATGGTCCAAGAAATTTGGAGGATTTCTTGTACCAGTTGTCCACATGGCGGCAAACATCTATAGTCCATATTGTGAAAATTAGGAAGTTTTTTATTCTAAGCATCAATTTCCAGGGCGATGGTTAGAGCAGTGTATCAAACAAAATTTTGGGTATTCTTTATGACCCCATTTCAGAGATCTTATGCCATTCCCCTAAAGGTGCAGGTGTGGACGTGGCAATAACATAGCCACAATAAAACTGCACAAAACTCATGTACGTGGATTCTTGCATGTTTGCTTAAAGCACACCTCAGTACTATTGCATCTAACTCAATGCTATTATATCTGCACAACAAATGGATCATTCTTAATGGAAGCGAAGATGTCCTGAGCCAAATTAATTCAATTAAAACCAACATTGACAAGAATCTGTTGCAGTAAGAAGATACCATAGAAATTTCAATTTGGTATTCTCTGTATTGATACAATACAAGAGGAAAAGTTACCTTTAATGTATTGGATATATTTTATACACTGTTTAGAAGTACTAATACCAAATACTCAAGAATGTATTTCACAGTTACAAAAGCAAATAAATAACATACACCAAAAGATTTTGCACTAAAAAATTAGGCATACGATGATATATGACAAACCACAACTCAAGGTACTACCCAAAAGGTCATCTACCTGAGCCATGAATCGTGGAAGCATGATCCCAAGCAACTGTTCTAGAACTCGATTTCCCGTTGATTCAATCAATTCCTCTGGTATTGCTCGAAAAGCAAATGGTATCTCGATGACAACCTGAAGAATTCCATAGTTAAAAAGATATATTAGAAAAAATATATGTCCCGTGGCATGCTTCAGATTCCAACTGCAAGAATGATTACCAATAGCCACCTCTATAGTTGTCTCCGATTTAAGTTGTTCAACTGATGAGTTGCCGTTACTAGTACTGCAGGAAATTTTATTCACCATAGAAGCTGCATTTTGCATTCAAGATAAAGGGTCAAATGAGCCTTAATAAGCATATATGGTAAAATAAAATCCTATCTAACCGCTTTTTTTATTTATTTGTAGACTGTAATTGCTGAAAGTGATGGCCACTGGAAACTTCAGTAAGAACTTAGTGAGAATGGATGCGCACCAATAGCTACAGAGTGGCTCTCGCAATATAATTCCCAAACGTCAAGAGTTTGACTGTCCACCAATGGTATCAATGTAGAGGAAACTTGGATAGGAGATGGAATTACACAAGTTCTACTCTAGTAACAAAAATGATTTTTAAGAGCTGAATTGACATGTTGTCCACAACAACCACACAGCAATGGGGATTCAAAGCACCCAATTACAAGAAAGTGAGGATGTGCAAGAAATCAAGAAGAACCAGACCATAGTAATGATTATAGTTGCATATAGCAGGCAATGGTCCTTAGCAAAGTATGACGATTATAATATTAGTTTGTAGTTCTAACAAATAATGATGTTAATTGTCAGTTTGACCAAGAAATCAGTTAATGCACGCATCCACAATGGAAGCTTGGAAATGCATTTGTCCATATAAGTTTTAAGAGGGAGATTAGAACCAGAGGCTTGCAAAATGAGAATACTTATTCAAGTTCACATGCTAAGAATTTTAAATAAAAACACCCAGATTGAATTATTTGGGGTCTCAAAGTTTTTAGTTTTTTCTTTTTTGTCTTTACTTTGTGTGTACCTGACCCAACCGCTCCCTTCCCCCTCAACTTCACAAATGGATGAGCAAAAAAATGGATTCAAGTAAGTTTGGAAATGAATTTCAAAATATGTTTTTCTTTGATAAATCCTGTAGTACAATGGTGTTGGACTCAACCAAGTCCCTAGGCTTACCTAGGTCTCACAGATTCACCTAAATTCTATCCAAGCACCACAAGTTAATCATGAAGAACAGATATTCCCACAAATCATCTAGATGAGAGATATTTCCACATATCACCTAGACTGGCTAGTTGAGTCAACTTGAAAAGCACCATGTCAACAAGCCACATTTCCAGACTTTGATCCATGTATGCCTCTGAAAACGAGGTTTGCAAATTGATTCTCGATGACCCTTATGTTTTGAAACCACTGGAATTGGGACACAATGAGCACAAAGTCATTGGTGGTCCATCATCACAGACCTTAAGATTAAACACAGGATTTAAACAACCAAAAAGGTTCCCTTCTATAGTAAAATAATCAAAACATCTTAGTGCATACAATGTTAATAAAAAGCGCGTGCTTGTTTGGAGATCACAGTTTGAAGCACTGCAGCTCACCAGATTATTTGGGGACCAACAATTTTGAAAGCATTATCTCAAAGTTAACAGGGTATAAGATTTATCAAGTCAAATACATGGACACTTCCTTGTATAAAATGAAATAAATTGAACATTGACAAATCCCCCCCAGAAAAAACATAGTTTCGGTAGGTTGAAGTGGAATTGTCAGAGGCTTCTGTGGACATTATCGAGCAATTTTTACTTTAAACATGGGCATCTCAATAACTATAAATAAATTAATGAAGTACTTGCAAAAGGGATCCTGCTTTGGATTCAAGTAAAATCCTCTTGTCCAGAGAACGAGCAAAGTATTTGGGCCTCCACAGCAGATCACATAAATATCATGATGCCTGGGTTTTGTTTATCAACACAAACGGAAGTGGAACTCAAGTGATCAATTTTTATTGTCCGAGGATTCAACTATCTTTTGGTCTAGAAGATAACAATATGAAAACGAGTAACAAGAAGTTGTATGCGAAAGGTAATACCTATATCTATTGATTTCAGCTATATGCCCACAGACCTAGTTTCCTCCCACAACAGACAGAAAGAAAGATTGATTAATGGCTTCAGATTACAATTTTCAACCAAAAAAAACAAAAGAAAATAAGAATCGCAATAACAAGCATGTCCATTCATCAGTGAAGAGGTGCAAACCAATATAACATTTAGTGGATATATGAGAACACCATAGAGAAAAAATCTCTCTCAAAAAAAAAACTGGAGAAAAAAATATATAAATGGAAAGAGCAAACCATACCTGAGAATTTTTCATTCTGTGCAACCACAAAAGGGGAACCTTCAAGCTGTTCGCCATCCATCACCCAACAGTAATGAAAAAAGAAAAACCCGCCATCAGAAAAACAATGATAAAAGTGATAAATGAAAAATAAGAAGATGACAAAGAAAATAAATAATGGCTGCATCTAAACAATCTTCCCCTTCTTTCTTCTAGGGAAACAGTTATCAAAGAAACTAAAAAAAAATTGGGTATTTAGAATACCAGATTGTGAAGCTAGGCTGCATTAAATAATATACAAACCTCTGCCATGCGAGAAGATGTGTAGCCATCAAAGCACTCGTGACCATGGCAGAGGCAGTAACGAGAAAAGAAAACCAGTGGTAGCAAGGAAGAAGCTGTGAAATTGTGTATATTTTTCTTTCTTTTATTTTGTAGATAGATACCCTTTCATTGATCATATTGGCTGTATTAGGATATTTTTCTTTACTATTTTGTACATCACACAAGCTATATAATGTACACCAACATATATGGGATTTTCTCCCATAAGGAAAATACAAAAAAGACAGGATTTCTCACATGTTATCAGAGCCTGGTGGTAGACCTCTTTGTCCAGGATCAGTCACCGGCAGTGTGAAACGGTTCACTGTACCCAGTCCCTAAAATACCCTCAAACCACCATTTGAATCTAACGCTCTACAAAACAGCACCGACCGAAAAAACCCATCTTTCTCTATTTCATTTTGGTGGTGCCATCATAGGGGTACCAAAGACTGTAGCGTTATTTGCCTCTTGGTCATTGGTCTGTTGCTCTTTATCTATCTCAAATAATCAAACAAATAATGAGAATCAAAAACACAAGTGCTTGCAAACCACATTGAGCCCCTTGTCCTCTTCAAGATTCTCCATGAAACATATTTGGCATTTGAGGCTACTGTTTTTGTCTTATTGAAGAGGGAAGACTGAGTAATGGAGTTTGGAATCCTAGCTAGGACACCATCTCCTGGTTAGAGTTGTGGTCTTGGAAAAGACGCAGGGCACTGCTTCTGAGCCATTGATTAGGGCAAATCTAGGCCACAAACCTCTCCCAAAGGAACCTTGAAAAAAAACATCTACAAAGAAAGACCTACATCTTGACTGCTAGAGAGATTACAGGATCGACGATCACCCATCTGATCTGAAGCACTCTTAACTCGGCTTGAATTTCTTTGAACATAAATGGCAGGGTCATGATGGCTCTGCTGAAAACTTGCGGAGACAACTGTATAACTGAATTTTTAAAACCAAGCACAGGGAGCTTGTTTAAGCCCATAGAGTGCCCGCCTTAGTCGGTAGACTCTATTATTAAAATCGAAAATCCAGGAGGTGACTTCATATAAACTTCTTTTGCAAGATTGCCTTTAAGAAATGCATTTTTGACATCGAGTTTATAGGGAGGCCATTGGAGAGTAGCAACCATAGAAATCGCGGTGCGCACTGCAATCACGTGGCCAACAAGAGCAAAGGTTTCAGCAAAATCAATCCGAAATTGTTGATTATAACCTTTAGCCACAAGTCGTGCCTTATAGAGCTTGATGTTGCCATCAGCTTTTGTGTTCATTTTGTACACCCACTAGCAACCAATGGCACTTTTATATTTTGGAAGAGGAACAAGATCCCATGCATGCATTTTATCAAAGGGGGTCAATTCTTCTACGATGGCATGTTGCTAGTCGGGCTATTTGGCAGCTGCTTTACGCATTATTTGTTATATTCGAGACCTACTTGATCGTGCTATGTTGTTCTCTTCGCCTTCTACTCTTAAGTTTCATGCTTACACTAGCTCTGATTTTGCGAATGCCATTTCTAATCGGAAGTCCGCTACAGGTTTTTGCATTTTTCTTGGAGATTCCCTTCTTTCTTGGAAGAGTATGAAGCAAAAATGTATTACTCAATTCACAGCCGAAGCTGAGTATCGAGCTATAGCAAAAACAATGGCTGAGATTGTCAAGCATCATTGGTTTTAGATGACCTAGATGTGAAGCTTGTTGCACCAACGCCCTTATATTGTAATAAACAAAAGTGCAATTTATATTGCCAAGAACCCAGTTACATGAGCGCACCAGGTATACTGAAGTAGATAGTCCTTTTGTTCAATAGGAATATTTAGCGTTGACGATCCCTCTTCCATGCATCCCATCTTTTGCACAACTTGTTGAATTCTTTACGAAAGTGCTAATTGTTTCTCAAGCCTTGTTTCCAAACTCTCAATGGTTCGCTTTCAACCATCACGAGTTTGAGCGGAAGTGTGAAATTAGGTATATTTTTCTCCTATTATTTTGTAGATAGAATAATCTTTGCTTGATCATGTTATATGTATTAGGATATTTTTCTTTCCTATTATGCACATCGCTGTATAATGTACACCTCTGTAACATACATGGGATTTTCTCCCACAAGGAAATTACAGAAAAGACAAGATTTCTCACAGAAGCAACATCATAGGAAAATAAAGTGCATACAAAGAAGCATGTAATGCAAAACATTGATATAAGTTCCCTCTCATTTCTTCAAGCATAACAAACACATTATAAAATCAAAAAGAAGAAAAAGAGATAGAGTGAGAGAGAAAAACCTTGCAAGAGAGTAGGCGAATGCAGCACCCTTTGGGCTCCTCCTCAACTCGAACCAGAAGAACAGGGCAAACTTCAAACGCAAAGAACTTGAATCGATATACATAGCAACGAAAGGTATTGTCATCGACACGCTCGATTCTCTCTGCATCCAACACTGAGTACTGGCTAGCCGGGAGGCTCATGTAATCAGCTGCAATTTCCCCAGCAAACCCAAAATGAAAATAAAAACTCATTCAATCACGCAAAAAACCATTATTACCCATTTCCTCTCCAACCCATTTTTTAGTGTCTTTTACTTGCTTAAAATGGGTTTTCAATTTATATCTCTATATATTAAACAAAGAGCAGAAGAAAGAGAAAGAGAGAGAGAGAGAGAGAGATGGTTGACCAAGAGGGCGCCGGAGCTGACGAACTTTAACAGTCTGTGTTCGACTAGCGGAGAAGCGAGCTCTTGGTTCAATGCCAACTGGTTGTTTCCCAATAGAGGAAGAAGAAGCGTCTCTAGGGAATATTCTGCTCCTCAGAGGGTCAAAAGAAGCACAAACACGCATGGCATTTCTTCTGCTCCTTCCGCCATGGAGCAAGGAACATGGAGGTAGCAGAAGCTTCGTTGTTTTGTTTATAGGGAGTGACAAATTCATAGCCATTTCCTACTTTCCAACGCAATAAGAGGAGAGAGAAAGAGAGGGAAAGAGAGAGGTTTTAGCAGAAAGAGAGGGCAGTTTTAGCCCAAAACAGAAGGTAGACGTGTGTTTCAGAAAGAGTGGGAAGAGGTGCGGTTTTCATAAGAGAGCGAGAGGCGCGGTTTAGACAGCCAAATTGTGGGTTTGAGAGTGGACAGGGACTGAGAGTCTCAGATGCACCCACCAAATCCGATCCGAGACCCGCCGGGTAATACCCGATACGGGTTCCGGTATGGGTCCATGGTTTAAAAAACGGATCGGTGATCCGGATCGGGCTTCCAGAAAACCTATTCAGATCGGCCAATCGGCGATTCGGATCGAAAATCGGGTGAATCGGTCAGAATAAAGTTTAAAAAAAATTCAAAAAAATTATTAAAATTCATTATAAATATTGTTTTTTACGAATTTAATAAAAAATGAGGGTACTCCATTAAGAATTTTCATGTTTTTTAATAAATATGCGAATATTGATATGTTCTTTCCCTGCATGAACCGCCATTCAACATTTAATTTACAGCATTTCGTGCTCATCCCTACACTGTTGCTGTTGGGATTCGATATGTGAATAATATGGCTGGGATAGAGTGGCCTCAGAATCATCATCTCTCTCGTTTTCTCTTTGAATAATATGGAATTAAAAAAAAAAAAACAAATTTTCAAAAAAATTGATCATGGATTAAAAAAAAAATCACAAATTTTCAAAAAATTCTATCATGGATTACAAAAAAAAATTCGATCATGGATTAAACAAAAAAAATCACAAATTTTCAAAAAATTCAATCACGGATTACATAAAATTCGATCATGGATTACATAAAATTCG